GACATGGCAGGGAAAGAATGAGAAACACAAGGGAAAACAATGATTTACATTGATATAACTATAATATGAAGTAACATACAACTAAAACAACAGTTGGATAGCTATTCCCTACTTTATTGGTTAGGATTTTTAATTGCATAATGCAAACTGTTGATTTTCAAAATAAAAAAAAACGTTCATGCTCCGCATTCCAATGCTGGAGCAGAAAAGCTTGAAATACCTACCAAAACACTTGAATAAAGACATACTGTCAGTATGGAAATGCTCTGTGCAGGCGTTAATCAAGTTAAATCCCAACAGCCAATCAGCAAGAAGTACTCTGTGCAGGTGGAAATGCTCTGTGCAGCCTGTTAATCAAGTTAAATCCCAACAGCCAATCAGCAAGAAGTATAGAGGAAAGCTGCATGCCTATTGGTTGATGCCCTGCATTCCATTGTGCTGACTCATGCCCAGACGTGGTAAACACGGCACACTAACACAGTAATACATTTGCTATAACACAGAATAAAAAACTCAAATAAAACCATTCTAAAGCCTGTATCACAAAATTTAAAAACGCCTAGGGGTATTTGCCCACTGTACCTCCATACCAAATTTCAGGACCTTAGGCCCTAAAATGAAGAAGCTGAATCCATTTAAAAAATGGCAGGAGGAGAAGGAGGAGAAGAAGAAGAAGAAACATCAGAAAAAGCAATATGGGTTCACCACTACTTCGTGGTGTGGTGAACCCATAAAAACTCTGGTCCGAAATTTAGACTAGTTCACATTTGTGACGTTGTGTAGGAAATTGCGACGCAATAGCGGTATCTAATAATCTATAACGAAAACAGAAAATTACGAATCACGAAACAATTACCTTACGAGTAGTAAGATGGCACATTTATGTTCGAATGATTTGCCACAGTATCAAAGAAAATAAAACTGTATATCATGTATATGTACGCCTTGTTGTAATCTATACATGCCACTGCACTATATTTTTCTTTACCACTGAATCCGTGTATATTTTTCCGTGTCGTAATATTTTTCCGTGTCGTAATGTTTTTGTTAATGTGAAATGTGTATGTGTGTAATGTGAATGCAATAAAACATTTGCACACATATAACAGTTATATAATGGTTAATACTTCATTTAGTAACTTATTGATCACTACAATTGCCATGACTTCATAATGCTGGACATTGTAGGCAAAATCAAGTAATTCTAGTTTCCTACAATAGTTGTAATATTCCTTTTGATTTTGAATGTAATATATATATTTATATATATAAGAAATAAAATAAAACAGATACTTAGATGATTTAATTGTGAAAACCGCCAACCTTCACTATCAATCAATCAATCAATCAATCAATCAAAATGGTTTATTGATAAAAGACATTGCAGCCAAACAGGCTGAATTGCGCCTTCTGTACATACATATTGTGCAGGGCAATAAGATATTTTTACAACATAGTTTTAAAATAATACATTAGTGTCTATTGCTTCTAATATCAGTTATTACGTCTAATTCATTTTCAAGCGTTCAGGATCCGCAACATCGATGGTACAGGACTGTTCTTAAACCTTAGAGTTCGGCAGGTCGGTAGGGTTAGTTCATTAGAATTCCTAAGGGACCGTCCATGTGTTAGTCCCCTGGAAACGGGTACTAACTCAACAGTTCTCCACGCTCCTCCGCAGCGTCCGCTAGCGCGCTATAATTAAATCCACATCTGGGCGCGCGGCGGGGTCCCCAGAGCAACACAGTGCGGAAGCATTAGCGTGTATCTGTGTCCTGGGGCCGAGAACGCATTTTGCGCAAAGCATGCTGGGTAGCAGAGTGAACTGTCCTGGGGACGAGAGTTTGTGGCGCGGGCGGAGAATGCCAAAACTCCCTCCGTGGCTAAGTTCCTTCCGCGACTAACTCCCTTCTGGGCAAATGTAGAGGGATAACGGTACACCCTCATAGCGTCACCAAATGAGGTACTTTGTAAAGGTCCGTTTCATTTGGTATATATTACCATTGTGACAGCATTTTATACCCCAAAATAGGAATCTTGCGTCTTGTTTTAGGTCCCGATAGTAGAAAGAATGCAGTGTACATGTATTCAGATGGCCGCCGTGTAACGTTACGTAACTTACTAGCGAGCGCGCACGACAATACCGCCAGAGTAGAGTAGGTTATCATAACCCTTTAGAAAGCGCAAAGAAAACAAAAACGACAGATTTGCATTAAAGAAAGTTTATTTTCCATAGCCTGGGCTAAGCCACGATCTATAACCTATGGCTTCTCCACGGGCGCTGGGGACGAGCGTGACAGTTCTCTCAGATGTTGCCATGCTGTTTGCAAATTTCGCGCACAAGTGGTTTCTTAAGCTTCACCTTTTGCATGGTCGGTAACCACATCCGAACTGTATTTAAGACAACTGTATTTTCAGTATTCTGTGTTCAGTGTACGGAACATAAGTAATGGCCAGACGACCCAGATGACAACTGATTGATTACACCCTGCGTCATCATAATTAGTGCCCCCTGGCGGTTTGTGGTATTTAACATATTTCGGGTTGATTTTACACTGACTATGTACTCATACTCATCCTTGTCCCAGTTCTGACTAAAACGTCCCTCAACCTATGATGTTTTTTTACTCAGATTTTGTCTTCAAACTATCGGGTAGGGACATGATTGAGTTAAAATCTGGTAAAGAATATATATGGTGTCGCAACAAAGTCATCCGACACTAAAAATGTATTTATATACAAGCCTGCAGGACATTTTTTCTCCACGGGGGTTACATGGTGACTTCTGTGACATTTTGGGATGAGGTAACGTAAGGTGAGAAAACGTGCGCATTGTTTCATCAACAAATCATCAACAAGCGATTTTCCGGTCATCATTACGGGAGTGACAGTTGACAAAAAGCAGACACCTCTGTAAAATGTGGGGGGTAAAACAGGGACGGAGGAGGGGTGTGGTGGCGTGGTGAGTCATATCGCTTCAAGGTTCTTATTGTTGCAGCGACACTTAACCTTTTCTTCTTAAGACTTTGTCTGTTTGAAAGACAACCAATCTGTCTTCCACACAAAAGAAGTTTCTCTGCAATTAACATGTTAGTCCGACAATTTTCTTATCTATTTCAAACGATTAGATTCGAAGCTGATGTTCCCAAAGTTTTCAGATTGATAAGATCTATCCTCAAAGCCCTGTATAATAGAATAACTATATGGCAAGTTAATGCCCAAAGGCTAATTGCATACAGACATTGAAAACAACAATAAATACAGAATGTGTTGAGGAATGGAATAAAACCATATGCATGTACTAAAATGAAGTTCTAGTATAAAGGCCATGTTGATTTGATTATGGATGACATCCGCGCGCGCATGAATTTTCGTCCGTTTCAAAAAAAGTTTTCGACCATACTGTAAATCGTACAAAGTGAGCGGATTTATGTCGTATGCTGCAAGAAAAGTATTAGCAAACGATACTAATATCATAGAATGCCGAAATCAATTCAGCAAAAGAAGAAAATGTGATGAAAATGAAGAGTCTATTTTTATTCGCCATACCATACTGTGTGTTTAGTCATTTGTTCAGCCTTTGTGACCACGTAGATTTCATAAGGAAGGGAACTTTGCCAAACTTTTTTACTCGCAGGCTTGCGTCAGTTTTGTGGTTCCCAGAGGATGGCATCCATATAATCAAATCAACATGGCCTTATCTATCTTTCTATCTCTGCTCAAAACTAATACTAGTACTAGTAACGTACGTATACGTGACAAAGAGTGAATATGTAATACATAAATAGATAAGAGAAACATGGTAACTACTATTCTATTATACTGTACTATTCCAGTCAAGCTATTAGTGGGCTTGACTTCTGTGGAGACAGTGGGAGATGAATTGTCTTCTTCATGAGTGCACGTGTTAGTGGTCAATACTTTCACGAATCGCAAGGTGGCGTACTTGATTGGAACTTCGGATTTGATATGAGATTTTACTCTGAGGCAGTAAATATGATCGTTGTAAGTTAGTACCTCCGGGGAAGGACATATCATATTCCACTGAAGGGCTCTGTTTATGTTAGGCCTATTGTGAAAGTTTATGTCACAATCCGCCGGGTTTTATATTTTTTCAAAATGAGGGTGTTTAATTTGGCGGAGAGATGATTTCATAGTACACAAGCATGCGAAGGTTACTCTCCAAGCAGAGGTTGTGGGGGAATGATAGTTAGCTTTTTATGAAAATCAAAGAGTAAAATTAAGCTCGCAAAAGTAGTATTTATTGAATGTAATCAAATAATATTTGACAACCAAGGACAAACAATGCAATATGTTGTATATGATAGTGTATTGGGTTGAACATGTTGGTACATCTGTATATATAGACAAAGTTAATGACAAAGCCTGTATCTCTTAACATCTCTTATCTTAACATCTGTACTTTGAGGAAGAGAAAGGTCACTGCAGTCCTATATAAGAATGTTAGATGTATTATCATTGCCAGTATGCAATACAACTGACAGCAACATTATATCTACATATTTATGTATGTATGTATGCATGTTTGTATGTATCATGCATATACACACATATAGCTACAAGAAGTGTACAAAAATCCTTGTCTAATCTATTACAAAAGTAAAACTAGTACAGCATTGGAATGTCTAGGGCATTATAACTAGTATAAACTCCTAACTATAGTTAAAACACAGTCACTCAAAGGATGCATCTATGCTAGCCTAAAATATCACTTCTAAAAAGTCCAAGGCATGATAAAGGCTTGATCAAACATTACAGCCATGTAGCTAGGATAGAACCAGCCTATTGTCTTGATACAGTTACAGTGTGGTGGGCACATAGTGGTACTGGGAGGCCCTCTAAGGAACCCATGCACATGGTATCACTGCCCACATCATAACACTGAACCCTAGGGTGGGGAATATTGAGATAGTCCAGGAACAGTTTGCTCAGGCCCCCGGTGATGTAGATCTCTGAGCCACACACACAGGCACTGCAGTGTTCCCACGATTTCAGCGGTTTAGCCCTCTCCTTGTAACGGTCAAGCTGGGGGTCGTAGCGAAGCACGCAGTCCAAGCTTCCACCGACCAAGTAGATCATCGAGTTGACCGTGCATGCTCTTATACCGCTTTCTGGCTCTGGTAATCGAGTTGCTTTCACGTTCCACTCATTCTGGCCGGGTTCGTAGCACTGAACTTTACTGGTTGTCCTCGAGTCCAGGTCACCGCCGAATACATAAACTTTGCCGCCGTAGGCTGCTATGCCAAAGTTGCTGACGCCTCTTCTCATCGACTTCACCCTCTTCCAGCTTTTCGTCTGCTCGTTGTACACTTCAACAGAAGATAGTTTCCTGTCCATATCGTACGGGTCCTGGCCGCCAACCACGTACACCTTTCCGTTCACGGCGGCCATTCCGTGCATCCCCCTCCCCTTCCTCATCCACGGCAGCCTGGTCCAAGAATTCTGCGACACGCTGTATCTGAACGCTTGACGCGGAGACTTGCCGCCGCCCGTCAGAATGATGTCATTGTTTACCACGCAGACGGCACTGTGTGCAATGCGGTGGAGGGGTCGGGATATCGGCTTACAGTCGATCGTGTCACAGTGGAGGTTAAGCCTGTACATGGAAAAGTTTGCATGTGTCTTAAAGTTCTCCGCGCCTGCGTCTGGACGGTCTGCACATGTGAACCCACCAAGGACTATCATTTCTTCTTGATGAATATGGCGAGGAGGTCTCGCACGTCTGCATTCATCCCTGATCAGTTCCTCGATTCCCAGAACTTCTGACAGGACCGGGTCTGTCTCCACGATGTTCTCCAGTAAACCTTGGTTCAAATGCGAGAAATGAACGCATGCTAATGCCTCCTCCAAATGTCTTTGTCGCTCATCGAGATCATGCATTACCCAAAGTATAATCGCTTCTAGCACACGTTCTTCTCTCATGGCATGAAGGCCTTCGTCTGAGACATATGTCTTTAGGAAGTCTACAGGTAGCTGAAGAAACTCCTCAGTCCCGCATACGTCTTCAAAATTCTTCAGAGCGTAGCTCCGTGCCATTGCAGACAGGTGTGTACACGACAGCTTGTCTGCCAACGCCCAAGTACTCAAACACGTGCCGGGGCCCAAGTGGTCTTTCAGGAACTTCTCGCAATCGTTTTCCACAGGCTTGACCTGTAGCATGTTGGCTGCTTCAAACAGGGGCTGGATGTTATCTGCGGTGATGTGGATGATTGATGTGTAGGCGTAGCCTACCAACATCTCCAGAGCGTCCCCATTCACTCCTAACATCTCGATCTTATCCCGCGAGCTCTCCGGATGGCTTCCACTGAACATGGCGTGGAAATAGTCTGTGCACGCGGACAGAACCAAGCGGTGACAGGGGATCTCCCTCCCCTCCGCACACAGCGTTACGTCCACCAGGTGACCGTCCGTCCTGAACTCCTGTAACTGCCGAAAGAACCAGGCTGCGTAACAGTCCTCCTCCACACCGGGTATCTCCGAAGCTCTGCCCATCAGTATGTCCATACTCATTTTCTGATGGTATCTATATCAAAACACAAATAAAACATTTTACCTCCTTAGAAATTCTAACAGTAGCACAGTATCTTGCATGACATCAAACTCAAGGAACACTATGTCAAAACCTACGCTTGGTGATTACACGTGATCTTGATTTCAAAACTAAGAAACAACCATGAAAATCTCACAGCCAGACAGCTGCCCCCCTCCCCCACCAAATTTCAAACACACAAACGTAAACCGCGGTTTCCATGTCAGTACGTGCTCAGTTAGAAATGTATTTACAATTTCTAGATTTATAGTCATACGTACGTCTTATTTTGGCACAGGCAAGTTGACAAATGTTGATACACAACACAAAACGACGTTCTCTATGACACTACACGCTACACGTGAGTTGAGGCCTTCTTTATGTATTACTCCGCCGAGCCCATACTCGGCGAGAAAACAACAAAGTAGTCCGATCCCCCTAATAAATCAGGATAATATGACAGGACGATAGTGAAGGTTCAATCATTCATAATAAAGTCAAAATAAAAATCCTAGACAAAAACAAAAGGAGGACCACACTGCCGTGTTAATAACTGTTCACCGCTATTGCCGTGACCAGGATTCGAACCTGGGTTATTGCGGCCACAACGCAATGTCCTAACCACTAGACGATCACGGCGAGCTACATGTGATCACATGACCTGCGCCGCGCAATGAAGGCCCTTGTTACCTAATCTCCAAGCAGATGTCGGGTGAGTGATGATCTTTTGAAACTGAATGGTAGAAAGTTGGAAATACATTCATAATACCAAAATCACTTTGAAAAATGCTCAAGTGTAGAACAAATAAAGCTAGCTGAAACTGTTAGTTTGTACAAAAAATCCTTTTAACTAATTATTTCATTTTTTCTCAGTGGAAGGTTTTTGCAAAGGTCAAATATTGTAAATCATACCTCGCATACTTAATGAGTACTATTGATTAGTACTATTGATTTATTGATTAGGATTTCAATAGAAATAAAATGTCAGGTCGATATATGCAGCGTTATTCAAGCTCTGTGCATATATTATTTATTAGGTATGCATAGATTTAAACTTAGTTAAGCATTAAAAAATCTCATGATCTAATAACCCTCATATAATAATAAATTGACCTAGATACATCCACTCTCCCATATTTCGGTTGGGCGATAATTTCACAAAATGCCTATGTCTGTCTTTCTGACATAACGTTACTACATTGTATTATGAGTCGCAAGGTGACGTGCTTGGCTGTACTGGTTATCATATTACCATATTATGTTACAGGTTTGCTCGGGACAATAAAATAAGATCCGTCATCTGCAGTAGCAGATTAATACCAGTAGTCCCTGGTAGCTTTGTGCTATTGCGGATCTGTTGTACATGTATTTATCAATACATGAGGTTCGCTGGAAACTCAGTACCGGGCGTCAAAGATAGAGGTCGCTGTAGATTCCACCTTGGTGCGGCGCTGATTAAAGTGACCGTGACCAGGAATAGAACCTAGGCTATAGCGGTCACAAATGTTCTTACCACTAACCTAGACCCTCTCGGTGAGCCATACACACACGTGGTCATAATAAATGTAGAACAAAGGACTAAACACACATAATATGGTATGACGAATAATAAGAGACTCTTCAGTTTCATTTCTTCACATTTATTTCTTTTCCTGAATTGATTTAGGCGTTCTTTGACAATAGTATCGCTTTTAATATTTTTTTGCAATATACGACATATATTTGCTCATTTTGTACAATTTACAGTATGGTTGAAAACATTTTTTAAACGAAAATTCATGCGCGCACGGATGTCATCCATGTAATCAAATCAACATGGCCTAAGGTATTAATGATCCTCTGTATAGGTTCTAGTTTTAAAAACAAAAGAAAATCTTTTAGGGTATAAAACATTTGCAGCTTTACAATACAATAGGTAAAACCCAGACTTGTAGGGTTTTATAAAACAGCGTTCTATCATACAACATTGTCAAGCACCTCGATCCTACATGTGTCTGTGTGTACACGTCTGTGCAGTATTAATATGGTATTAAGGTTAAAGCATACTTTAGTATTTCCTCGCCACTTCGAGATTCGAAATTGTTTCACGACAAAGTGGTATGAATTAGTGGTAACCGCTAAGGGCCCCTATGATGCTAATTGAAGATATGTGGTCACATGTAGCTCGCCGTGATCGTCTAGTGGTTAGGACATTGCGTTGTGGCCGCAATAACCCAGGTTCGAATCCTGGTCACGGCAATAGCGGTGAACAGTTATTAACACGGCAGTGTGGTCCTTACTTTTGTTGGCTCGTATCTTTTAACTTTTGCCATTTGCAGATCTAAAACAGATTCAATATATCCCGCAATTCTGTGTTTCAACTAAATGTCTAACTTACAAGCATGGTCACAAAACTTGAGAACTATAGCTTTCCGACGGTAGCCCCCCAAAATATGTCTATCATATGCCATGTCGGTTTTTACTCTTTGTTTTCTGAAGTTTTAGCTCAGATTGTATTTCTGTGCGGTTCTGGTGGTCAACAAAATTATGATATATTGCAGTTGTGTATTCATACCCCCTCCCACACAAAATATCGGTCTCACGTGCATAACACACAAAGGCGAAAAGAAGAGAGCTATAAGGAAACAGAGAATTGTCCTTACGCTAGCGATTCAAATATTCGCTGTTTGGTAAAAACAGGACCCTCGAATGCTCATGAGAAGTGGAGAGGCGGCATTAAATTCGATGTGTGCTTTGGTGTTCAGGTCGTCAATTTTGTACGAGATCGTATTTGATCAAATCTCGTATCTGGATATGAGAATTACAGGTCTGTCCCTATACCAGAAGGAATTTGCTACACATATTTTGGAAAAAAAAACGATTTTTTTCACGGGACCTCTTGCCTTACTACCTGGTGATAATGTCTTATGCGATCGATTCAGCATTTTAGACTGAACTGTTGTGGTTTAGTTTAGTGTCCGGTCAAATTCGTCACACGGTCCGATATTCTAGTGATATGTTTAGTCGTGCATTTCAGTTTCAGTTTATTTATTTCACTAGCAGTTACACTCCGGTACATAACAACCTGTTTTACGGGCGATGATGGGTATACAAAGCACGAATAACAGACTATACAATATTACCAAATCACATACGATACAGAATGGCACAATAAAATATGTCGTACAAAATTCTGCTGTCTACTAGCTAACTGTTACTATAATTTTAACAGACAGACGCTTAAACTGGTTTTGATATCTTCTTTTACAGTCACATTTTCCAACTGACAATTGTAAATATTAGCTGTTCAGCAATAGTACAACTAAATTCGACTGTACGTACAAGTACGAACGTTTTCTAATATAACGGTTACATTTATCCTGTATCCACCCTATAAAAACAGAAACAGCATATTAGCAGAAACTTGAACCCTGTCATCTTGGGAAAAGTTGATGGGCAGATGTCAGTCAAGCGTAACCGTTGATAGATTGCTCGGAATGCCAACCACTTAGGAAGGGACATTATCCTAAACAATTAACAATGCTGCAGTAAATAATGGGGGAGGGGGGTGTGGAGTGAGGCAATCCCACATTAGCAGCGGTGAAGGTCAGCGGTGAAGGTCAAATAGGGATAGCGACACTCATCTGCAGCGAGCTTGTATGCACTTCTCCTTCTTCTTTTCTTGTTGTCTTGCTGGTATTTACATTTCGATACATTTCCAAGGACGTGTGAAATACTTGTGTTCAAAATTTCACCGTACAAGCAAGTCACGCGTCCCTGTGTGTTACACGATCCGCACATTACGAGCGCGATTCTCTGATTTCTTCTACCCCAGGAATGTTGACAACACCTGGGCGCTTCTCTCACCTGTCTTGACTTACCTGCGGGAGAAAAGGTGGTGACAGACGTACTAGTGATTTAACCTTCGGGAGAAGTGTACGGTGTAAGGGTGAACACACCTGCACGGGCCCGGTGCTATAGAATGGAGCACGCCGTATTTTCGTGCCGACTCATTTGTACGTGGTACTTTGACTTCTAATATCCCGTAACCTTACAGTTTGTCTCTCTGAGTGTGTGGTGGGGTATAGACTCCGCTCTTCAACACTGCACAGAAAGATCTGTGTGCTCTATAAAAAAACTATTAGGACCTCCGACCGTTAACTGCACAAATGCATCTTTGCTCAGTGAAGTCGTTAGAGGGTACAGGTAGACATCCTTTTGTGGGGAACATGTGGTCGCTATTGCAGGGAGTTTTGATAAATATATTGATAATCAGCGTCGCCCGCCATATGCCAGCTTCTACGTATCTGCGCTACGGTACGAAATCCGTGCTCACGGATACGTATTTCTGACATAGCCCGTATCGTCTGATATTTGATTTTCGTGACGGAGTCAAGGAGGTTTATATATATATATGTATATACACGCAGGTATCTCGCGCTGCGTACTGCATACTGTGAAGAAACAAATACGGGACGAAGTTGGAAGGTTTTCTCCGTTGAGTTAACCTTCTGGCCGCACACAGGTGAGCTAGGTTAGACCCGCGAGCGAGCAAACACTCCGGCCGCCAGAGTTTGTTTAGTCCCCGTGAGGCGGGCACCCTGAACATCTGTTGCATAGTTTAGATGCCTTCGTCAAAAAAAATATATAACCAGAAAAAATTGCAGCCTCGAGAAACCAAGTCATGCATTTTGCGGTGTAGATTTATTAATTTATGGTTTTATTGTGGTTGAAGTTTAAGATATGCAGAAAAAAAAGGAACGTTAGAAGTCGTCGTCTAAGGAAATAAGAGGAAAGCATATGGATAATGTAAAGAGTAAACAGATATATTGGTCTTGTTAATGTTTTATTTGAAAGACGTTAAAAGCAAAGTCAATTTGTTCGGCAGGTTGGTCGGCAGGCGACCACGGTTCGAACCCGGGAAGTCAGCGACTTTTCCCCGGATCAAATGAATCACGTCACCGCCGCTGTGTTAACAAAGCCGTCTGTCGCGGAAACCGGCATTGTTGGGCTGTAAAAACACAAAAAATAACCCTCTTCTACAAAGATGTGTAAAAGGCGACATTGTGTAATGTCTGCGTGGTACTATCGCGTAGATAGAAGGGAGAGTTTTGTGAGATTTTATTAAACACAGGTCTTTGTTAGAGGTTGCTACACACCTGTTTCAGGCAGCCTAGTCATCGTATCTATTTACCCGTCATTTCATCAGCTCGTCAGCGGCTGACTGGCTCTCCTACACCGCCGGCCTCAGCGCCACCAAGTCGAGCAGATTGCGGAAATGGGCCTTTTAATTTCATAAACTTTCATTTGACTTGAACAAACAAAACGCAGCGGCTGCCCTGGTGATCGTATATAAGGGTATTGTCAGAGTCGAAAGCCGCGTGCTTGTCACACGAGCAGCGACTGTCGGTAAGAAGCAACGGCGAGGAAGAATCAAGAGGGCGGCCCTCCAAA